TGCCCAGCGGGTTGCCTCTTATGCTGCATACTTATCATTTTCAAATTTACTTGCTACAAGTAATGAAATCCTCCTGTTCTACCGCCCTGTAGATGCTACCTACGTCGAGAAAACTGGAAAGTTGGTACTGAGTCGATGATTCCGACTTGCCTTGGCTGTCCCACCACCTGAAATTAAATTCCATAATTAGTGGAGGAGGCCCAGTTGTGTTCAAGCCAACATCTCCATACTGCACTGGCAGACAGAGGGGGGAAAGATCAGTGTAGTCAGCAGGAAGGTCTACTCTGGGGCTGCTGTGTTGGCCCGCATCTTGACCTGCAGGGCTTGCATGGCCAACTATCAGCAGCATTTATGGGACTCGATCACGCCCTTCTTAGATCACCTAGACAACAAAGTCAAATCCACTTTTTTGATCAACCACCAAGAAGCCCTGTTTCTAGCACATCACCAAGTCCAGCTGTCGAAACACACTGCCGACACTCCTTTTAAAATGCTGGCCCACACCATGGCAATTTGATACTATGCTTGGCTTTTCTCGTCTAGCCAATCTTTGGCTGCTAAGATGGCAATTGAAGGCCTTCCTTTTGATGACAGCTTGTTTTTCTCGTTATGTACCATGCCAAAGATGGACCAAGGCTTCTGTCCAAACGTAGATTTATGCTTTGCAAACACTTTCATAATGGCAAAGCAGTTTCCAATGATGTCGATACTGTTCATTGATTTGGTTGATTTGTGACATTGGAATGTAAAGATGCATACTTCCACATCGAAATACATCCCAACTGTCAAAGATTTCCGGCTTTCTGCATAGGGAACTGTGCATACCGTTACCATTTCCTACAATTCAGACAGCCAACTGCCCCGAAGGTGTTCACAAAGGTGATGGCAAAGGTAGCAGCCTACCTCGGAACCAAAATCTTCATGGCGTACCCCTACTTCAATAACTGGCTCCTATTTTCTCGATCTTTGTTATGCTTCCAGGAAAATATTTACTTCACACTTCATCTTCTGTGAGAATTCAGTCTCATAGTGAATCCAGAGAAATCCAACTTGATGCCAACTGCTCTATCCAGTTCATTAGGTCCATTTCTTATTATCTTCTAGACAGGGTCTTTCTTCCTGAGGACAAAAACCTTAACATGTGCAAAGTGACCACACGTTGTTGCATCATTGAGAAGATCCAGGCCGAGGACATTAAAGTGCTCTAGATAGCATGGCATCCACCACAGTTGTCACCCCTTTGTGCATTTCTGAATGTGCCCACTCCAGCAATTGTTCCTCTGCATCTTGTTCCTTTTTAAGATCCTCAGAGCAAGCACCTTTTGATATCAAGACGAGTTCGAGAATCCCTCCACTGGTGCATCGTCAAAAAATGTATGCATCAGTATGTCGTTTTGGTCTCCAAAACCCGAGGCCTCCATCACAATGGATGCTTCAGTGCTGAGTTGGGGAGCCCAATGAGGAGATCTATCAATCAATCAACCTAAGTCAGGTCTGGAAGTGACACATCACATCAACTACCATTGGCAATTTTAAGGCCATGAGATGCTTTAAGGAGTGTATAAGGGGTTCCACAATACAAATATTGATAGACAACACCACTGTCATGTTTTACATGAACAAACAGGGTGTAACTGGATCTTATTTGTTGCTTCCATTGACACTGGAGCTGTGGTGCATTCATCAAATAGCTTCCCTTCCCAAAATATCTTCCCAAGATTGCCATCCATCTTCCAGGAGAGGAGAACTTGCAGGTAGACTCCCTGAGCAGGACCTTGTCTGCATGCCATGAGTGGCATCTACATCAACTCTCTCCAATCCACATATTCAACACTTGGGATTATCCAGAGGTCAACCTCTTTGCCACAGCCACCAGTGCTCAATGCCAGTGGTTCCGTGCTAGGGCCCCTCCAAACTAGTCTAAGGGGCGGGTGAAGGACGTCTTCTTCTTAAAGTAGAAACATCTCTTCCTAATCTTTCCATCGATACTGCTAGTCCCAAGAATCCTGGAGAAGCTCTAGAATGAAGCTGCTCAATGCATCCTGACCGCCGCATGGTAGCCAAGGATTCAGCCAACTATGATTATCCTGACTGTACAAGTTTACTTTTTCTGTGATATTCATTTAACATTTGATGTGTAACACCATACACCAATGACTGGAAAGAGTTGGAAGACATTTTTCAAAGCTTTATTTTCTAAATCTTGGTAGTTGCACATGTATTGCATGGCACATTCCACATTCTTTCATTGGACTGGTTACATAAGTCTTCTTGTTATGGTGCATCATACATGGTGAATAAACCTTTTTGTTTTTGTACCAAAGGTGCTGGTCTGCCATGTGTCATGACTCTCACCTCCTATAACTTTTGATTGCTAGTCACCCAATTGTGTGATTCACAGAGACCACAAAGAAGGACAGGTTACTTACCTGTAACTATTTCTTTGAGTACTCATCTGCGAATTCACACAATCCTGCCCATCCGCCTCACACAGGTGTCATGCCACCTAAGATCTCAATACGGGCTGCAGCTGCAGCCTAGGAACTGAGTGATTTTGGCAGCAACCAGGCCTTATATAGCCTTAGGATGAAGTATTTAGAGAAATAGAAACAATAATGAATATGAAAATAGATAAAAGTCCTAGTATAGCCTTACTATCATTGTATAACAATAAGCAACTGAAAAAGGAGGATAAAGAAGCGATAACAAACTTACTAACTATAGCAAGACTTCTTATAGCAAGGAATTGGAAAAAAGAAATGAATATGCAAATAGAGGAGTGGTATAAGGAAACATGGAAAATAGCAATAAATGATAAATTGACATGTATACTAAAGGTTAAAAAAGGTACATGGAAACAAAGCGATTTTGATGCTGTATGGGGAAAATTTGTGGTAAATGGATTAAAAAATAAGGAAGGAAAATTACCGTCACAAGAAGAAATGAAATTTTGGACAGATGAAATGTAAGAATGGTGGCTTGAGACGGGTGGAGGGGAGCACTGTGGTGGAAAAAGGGGGAAAAAAAGAGAAAAAGGGGGGGAAATGTCAAAGCAAAACAACAAAACAACATATTAAAGAGGCTGATGTACAAAATGCAATAGTGTGTAATAAATGTGATAAATCAATAAAAATTTAAAAAAAAAGGACCCAAAAAAAATATAGCCTTAGGATGGTGGACAGAGTTATCACCAAAACTTTTATGCCTAGTTATTCTAGAAGGTTCTGAACAATGCTATGCACCTGCACAGGTTACTCAATTGTGTGAATTCACAGATGACTACTAGAAGAAATACAGCTACAGTTAAGCAACCTGTCCTTTTCCTCTTATAGCCTCCTACACCCCTTCCATGTTGTTCCAAAGGGGTTCCCCGATCCTTCAAATTAGATGAGGGAAGAGCTTCTGGGGATCCTGGAAAGATCAAAACATGCCATCTTCTTCAATGAAACTCCACACTGGAGCATTGCATCAGCTGACTGACACCACCTGGATGCAGCCCATAATCCTGGAAATTGTTTCTATCAGTGGTTCTGTTCTGAGGCACATATCCTATTTAAAAAGAAGACATGAAGAGTTCAATTGCAACGTGACATGTGTTTTTTTTTTAAAGTGAAAAGAAAATGCTAGAAACAAACCCCAGAAATATATTATTAATTAACTATCGGTTGACAAGGTGGATACAGATACTACCTTCAGTGATTTATGAGAGACAAGACACTAAAGTTAAAAAATAAAAGAAAGTCCTCCACATGTTGGATGTTAGTCAAAGAATCTCATAAAACAAACATATCTGTTAAAGCGGTTTCAACTTCACTGCATAACTTCTGGCCAACAGAATTTACAGTTTTATCTCTAAAGTTTATTATATGTCAGATGAATGGCTATTGTACTGTAGGGCAAAAAGCAATGCAGAAGTAATCCTTGTTGTAATTCACTCTGACAACGGCATGCAAATATTAACAGAATACTTTGCTGCTAATATTCTGTAGCATTTGGTTCATTTCATTTCATTTCGAAATCAGAAGTCATTTGACTGTTGTCATGGTGGCTGTTATTTGTGGTTGGAGCATACTATTCTGCAGAACATTACTTTTTTTAAAAAAAGGTACAGGAATACTTTGATGGCGTATGAGTAAGTAGATTTTAGGTTATAATTAGTAATTAAAATTATCAGCACATGCATATAACCTAGTTGATTTAGTCTGTTGTGCATTGCCAATCTTTTTACACAGTTCTTTGCAAGAAAAATCACCAATTTTCTTTATATAGCTGTAATGGCTATGACTCAAAGATGCACACTTACGTCTGGTCAACATTAATGCTAGAGATTTGTAGTCATTTTCCTGTTCAGAGCAGATAGATGCAGCAAATGAAAGTTTTCAAAGTTGAAACATTCCTGAGGAGTTCAAGACAAGGGCTGTCAAGCATGAAACCAAACTCACAACCCTCCACTGTGCTGGTGTGCCTGGATCCTTCTCTCATCTGACTGCAACCAATGGATTCATTCCAGCACACAGTGGCATGTGATGAAGTCTCATTGATCCTAAAGTAACTTAGATGTGTAAAACCGGCTGCTTGAGTTACAGTGATTGCTCGATTATGCTGGTTCATTGCTATTGGCGTTCGACTGCATTTTGAAGGGGGGCAGGATAACGGATTCCCTACTTTCCCCCCGTTTGCTACAAAGGAAAACCTTGCCTGTACTTTCCATGTGCCTGTCTGCTGATTGTAAAAATGTGTTAAGCATTTAAACAAAAAACAGAGAGCTGCATTTTGATTTATACAGCAAACAAAACATATGCTTGCTGTTCTGTTCTATGTAATTCATGTGATCAATAAAATTATCTTTTAAAAAAGAGCAACTTTGGCATTTAGGGAGATTACACTGATGTACAGGGAATACGATTGTTGCAGCCAACTTCTGTGCTGTTGGCCCACAATACGCTTTGGGGCTCAATAACGTAATAATAGTACATAATCTGCCTTCTTTTTCCTTTTAGGATAGAAGCTGTATACTGTGGCTGTTATCCTCTCTGTCCCAAAGCTTTGGTCTATCCAGAAATATTTCCAGGTAGTTAGTTCCCTGTGCATTGTTTTTATTATTTTTGGTTGAGGTTTGAATTAATTAATTTTAAAATACAAAGTTTGAGAATAAACTTAAGCAAGAGCAATTGTTTATTTGGCAAGCAACCATGTTAGCGCTAAGGAATTTTTAATGTGTTTTAATACATTAGATGAAGTTTATATTTACCATCTGTTCTTTCAAGATAACACAAAAGCAAGTTTTGAAATAGCATTCTTCATTGTTAGTATACATAGCCCATAATGATAGATTTTTATTTAAAAGGTAGCTTCGACTGCGATAGCTTTCAGATTTTTTTTAATGATATTCGGAGAGAAGAAAAAAATTAGGCCTGAAAAAAATCGTACCAAATTATTTAAACAATTTAATACTTAATAATATGCAACCCTGCTACAGGATACACACTAATGTAGTACCAGTTCTTTGAAAAATCTCATCACTAAATGTCTCACATATGCATTGTGTTACATTAGAATAATGTATTTTAATCACCCAAAGGAGATGTCTAAACAGCACAACTACACAGTCTTATTTAGCATTAAACATCCTTGTGAGCTGAGGTAACCTTATAAAATCATGCTTAAATAATGTAAAACACGAGGCGGCACAGACCAATATGCATTTTTAATTAGTAAAGTGACTAATATCGAGTGTGTGCTTTGAGGTTTTTGTTTCATTAAAAATGTATCTGTTTTTCCTGCAGCTGAATATCTATATTCTACACCTGAACAGCTTTTTAAAAGGCTTCAGAATTTCTGCAAGAGACCAGATATTGTGAGGAAACATCTTTATAAGGTATTTTTAGAAGAAGAAGTCTTCTGTTGTGTTCTGTGATACCGAAGAATACAATCCTACAAACAACAACAGCGGCACCCCCCTACACCCCCCTCCCAAAAAGGAGGGGAAAAAAAGAAAACATTTAATTAACAACCTAATGTTTAAAGGAAACATGCTAAGGAGGTATATTAGCTGTTACACTAACAAGGATTAATTACACTAGATGCCAGTTGTATTAACCTAGGGTCTTATGGAATACGTGCATTCAATGCATGCTACATGCTTTTTTTAAAAAAAAATGTTTCCTGAAATGACTGTCCTCCACATTTGGACCCAAGAGGCTTATAAAAATGAACCTGGATTAATTTAATTCATTGGTTAAAAGGAGAGTTTTTGAACAGAGATGTTACAATTATACTAATGAGGATAAGCTTACCTTCCTGTCTTAATTAAATCTTCATTGGTCAGCACACTCAGGTGAATGACCAGGTGAAAATAATTTCTCTTCTCTGTCTTTCTCCCGATTGTTTCGCTGCCTGGAGAGAATATTTAACCCATTGCAACATCAGTCCTGCATACATAAGATTTGGTGAAGAGTAAATTGTAGGCCCAAAGAAGAGGATAATGTATCTACTTCTCAAAACACAATTGCTATGTCTTCTCCTTTTCTTTATCCCTGTAACAAGTAGTAATACAAAATGTAGAATAAGTTCTTCTGATCATTGTTGGGAGTTTTGCTGCCTACAACAGCTAAAGTCAATGAAGCAGAATACAGTAAAGAGGTTTCACCATGCAGTGATGTGTTATGGGACTTCTTGGAGGGAGGGCGCTCCATGCAGTCATGCTGGCCACATGACATTGGAGGTGTCTACAGACAACGCCGGCTCTTCAGCTTAGAAATAGAGATGAGCACCAACCCCCAGAGTCAGACACGACTGGACTTAATGTCAGGGGAAAACCTTTACCTACCTTTACCTTTAGAGGGAGGGACACAAGTAAAAGAAATGCAAGGATTGCAATAATTAATTCTGGCATATCCAAAATAAAGCATTATGCTAGCTCTCCTTGTGACTCCTTTCCTTACATGGAGGAATGACAAAATAAACTATGGGCCATGGAAACCGGTGGAACAAAGGAGCAGCCCCACTTCCCTTGAACAAGTAAACAAATCAAGAATCAAACTATTCGTTATTTTTCTTTCTCACCAAGTCTCCTGGTGAGAAAGCCTGTTTCTACTGGCATAATAAATACATTAAGGATGGAATGTCTTTGGTATACATAGGGAAGATAATCTATTAATATTTACCCATAATTTCTGAAAATTCCATCTACTCTGTTGTCTGAATGCACCCAAACCCTAGTTCTCCCTTAAAATAATATACAGTTTGTGTAAAGGAAAAGTATGTTCCCAGAGTTTGATTCCCGCTGGTCACAAAATTATTGAAACTGGTTATTTTGTGGACCATCATTGTGAGCAAGATGGGATATGTGTGTGGACCTCCAAATAGTGTTTGATTATAACTCAAGCCAGAATGAGAACCGGATGGCCTTTCATTTCATTGGACTCAAATCCCAATCACTATTTGAATAATTCAGTCAGGTGACTAGATGCACATAGGCAGCAGAAAAGATATGTAGTGACTCCCTCCTCTGTCTAGCATTGGTAATGGAGGAGAAGGAACTACTCAGTGACATTTGCAGTTATGTTCTTGACAGCTTGTGACTATTACCATTTAGATATTTACATTTCTGAATTGTCTGGGATTCTATAGAGCAGTTTAGAATTGTGTAACTTGTGGGATGCATGTGGTTCTTCCAAAGTCTTGGTGGCTGTTGCTCCCCTTGAACCATGACATCTTTTTATATGAAAAATACTGGCATGATTGTTCTATTGGGTGTGATATAGCATTTTGGTACTATTTTCATGTTGACTGCATCTCACTCACTAAACAATATGAAGTCACCCGAAATGTCATCAATGCTGTCCCTGAAGGTTTGAAAGACACAGATATCTGCTATAGTGGTCACTTCCATCCCTATGTAGATTTTTAATCCCTAAAATTGCCCTTTCCTAATAATTATGAATACACTATACCTTAAAATATAAAGAAATATTCTTGACTATTCCATCAAAGAAGCATGTGAAACCTGAGCTTAAGCATCAGCTGAGTGCAACGTAACACCTGCTTTGTATAGCCATTTAATTTGCTTTAAATATTTTCTATTTCATTTTGATACGTTATTCCATATTTTTAAGTGGGGGTTGCTACCTGGAAATCGTTTACAAGCTCCTCAAGCAAATTGATACATATCTACTGAGAATTTTTCTTCAATAGGTTGAGTATACCTTATTTGGGATATCAAAATCCAAAATTGTACACATGAGTAGATGCAGTAGGAGTACCTCTGCTTCTGATGGTTCAATGTAAACAAACATTGTTTCATGCACAAAAATATTTAAAATATTGTATAAAATTACCTTCAGATTATGTATATAAGGTATATATGAAACGTAAATTAATTTCATGACTTGGGTCCTGTTTTCAAGATGCTTCGTTATGTACATGCAGGCAGCCAACAAATAGGTTCTTTAGATTTGTTCTTACGTTAAATTTGTAAGTAAGTCAGAAAAAGTTCATCTTTTAAGTATAACTCCAGCCAAAAAAAAAAAAAAGCTTTGGATAGTATAGGGAAGGCTTAACATCCTTGTGGTGTTTGTTTTGCTGTCTGTGCTCCTGTTTAGAAGATCCTGCCTCATTTTCTGTCCCTGTGATAACTGGGTTTTGAAAAAAAATGTTTGTTGTGGAAACATGGGTTGGTGAGAAAACTTCAGTGGAGACACATTTCCCCATAATAACACTTTCAAGAGTGAATTTTCCTTCTCTCACTTCCTGTTGTCTCACTCTGGTTCTTAACTATGAGGCATTTGTAAGTTGGATGTTTGTAACTCAGAGACTGCCTATATATTCAAATATTCCAAAATCTGGAAAAAGAGCCAAAATCCCAAATACTCCTTGACCCAAGCATTTATAATAAGGCACTCAGCCTGTCCAAGCTTGGTCAACATAGGCCTTAATCCTGATTTTAGTTCTGACTAGAGTAGCTTGATTGAATCAATGGGATTTACCTCTGCAAAATTGCTTTTGAGAATCTACTTTAGTTGGGGCTAACTAGCAGGATGTCAGCCATAAAAAACAACTCTCAACAGCAAGATGGAGCGCAGTCCACACTAGAACAGTTAAGGAATGATTAATCCAAACCCCTTATAACTTGGTTTCTGAAAATTACTGAAGACTACCCTTGTGCTGGCTTAACTTTCTGCAAGCATTGTAACCACAGGGTTGGTAAGGGGGGGAGAGGGGGATGGAGGCCCAAGATCCAACTGTATGCTTTTGTCTTTAGAGTAGAGCAACACCAAATCCTGTATTTTTTTGATCCATGTGAGAGCAGACAGAGTAGCCGCCAGCTTCACTCACACCAAACAGACACCCACACATTTTATAGGCAGCAAATTGCATACCAAATGCTATTGGGTCCATCTGTTGCAAGTGTGGCTGGCACCCACGATTCCTACTCTCAGGACTACAGGCACAGGTCACTGAGATGCATAAGGCATGAGACAGATCTAGATGAAATCTGTTTCAAAAGAAGGGCCTCTCACAAGAGTTCCAGGCTTCCACAAGATCTCTTGATCTCATAAAAGCCTGGAACATTTGTGAGAAGCCTCTCTTTCATGAGACTTGAGGTGGGCTTTATGTGTACAGACTAATTTTGAACTGGTCAAGCAACCGAGTGTGCTGTTCCATATTGCAGGAAAGCCTGATTTTTTTTTAATCTTACTCGCTCTCATTGGCCCTGCCTGTGTCCAAGGTTTGGGGGATTTTTCGATCTGACTTAGCACATCTGCCATGTCCCACCCCATCCCTTTTTGAGCTCATTTACTGACAGGAGAACAATTCTGCTGACAGTTCTGTTGGTAGATCTCCACAGTCAGGTGGTGGAAATGCATTCTGCCAACTGATGAACAAGGTGATTTTTGCTTCCATATGAGATTTGTGATTAATCCAAGTACTCTTCAACTGGATCTTTGAGATAAGTCTACACTGGTAAACAGGAATTCAAGAATACTTTTCTATGGTGCATGCTTCCCTACACTCTATACTGCTCTGGTTCTCTTCCTTTGAGAATATCATGGATGATTGTGGTATATACTCATGTATAAGTAGATATTTTAGTCAAAAGCTCAAGCCAAAAAAGCTGGGTCGACATCAACTGGTCAATGTAAGTACTATACCTGAATTGTTAGCAAAAAAGGAACCATCATTTTCTTTGATTAGAGTGGTGAAAACTTAGTCCATCCTGGAACTAAAAGAAATATCGACCGCTTGTAATATTTTTGCTGGGGTACCACTTCTTACCTTTTTGAATGCCTGGGTGGGAAGATGATGGCTCTCTCAATGACATACTGAAATAGAAGATAGGGCCAGCACTTTTTTTAGGTTATCCTAGGGTGGACCAAGCTCTGAGCTTTCCTGCCTGATTTTTGAAAAGAACCATCCTCCTTGAGTAGAGTGGTTAAAGGTCCTTTTGAATGCCTGGGTGGAGAAATGATTGCAGCTGGGGGAACTGGTCCCCAATGGCAATACTGGTGCTTTCTTCTCTTTGTGGAACAACTCTCGACTTATCCATATACCCGTATTTAAATTCTTAATTTTGGACCCAAAACTTGCCCTCAACTTACACGTGAGATGAACTTATATATAAGTATATACAGTACATGCCAAACAAACATGTGATTCTTGGCGTGCTTCTATGAAGAATCAATAATCTGGCTTTAACCTGGTTTGGGAGGAACTGGTTTTGCTTCACAGGTCATCAGACTGACATGCCTGGAACGTGGCCTCAAGCCATTCCCCCCCCCCCCCAGTTTCCTGGAGATATGTGCATCAGCACAGCAGAGACATGGGGGAGGGGGGAAGGTAACAATTAGCAGTGCAGCTAATCAATTACCCCTCCTT